GGTCAAGCACTGGTGGTGGCTAGAGTATGGTGTGAATGGGGCGTAGGCGGAGCAGGAGCCTAGAGCGGGAGCCAGAGCGGGAGCCAAGAGCCAGAGGGGGTGCTGGGGAGGTGGTGGGTGTTTAAGAGCCTCAGGAAGCGTTGCTTGTCATGAAGTGGCTGCCTTTTAAACTGCCCGCTTTGCTGTGAGAGGGTTGGCAGGAGGCTGGCCTGGCTGTGTGATTGGCTGAGGCTCGAGGCTGGCAGGCGCTCGCAGGTTCAGTCTTTCAGTCTGAACCTGCGCATTCAGCTTTATTAGTATTGCATCTATTGAAAATTGTAAAGGCTCAAAAACATCACTCTAATTGACTTCACCTTGGTCACCTCTTTTTCTCTTGACTACACACAAAAGAGTAAACCCACAAAAGCCCAAATGCTATGTTTATTACAGCGCACTTATTGTTTGTTTATTCCGCCCATTGGCAAAAGCAAGAACCTCATGTTATTCACTCACCGCTGTATAAATCTGTCACAGCCTTGTACACATTCACCTTAGGCACATAGTAATTATCCACTCCAAGCAACAAAGAATACATTTTAGACTGCATTTATAAGCAAGAACAAATATAAAAAGCGACGTCACCTCGTAGTAATCTCCCTTCTTTCATCTCCACCACTGCCCAGCCCAGCCCTGCCTATTGCCAACACCGCTACTCACTATACCAGCTATTTTAGAAAACTCTATTGAAAATTCATGAACTTTAAATAATACACGCATATCCAGCCTACTGTCAGCTTCGATTTGAATTATTTGTATGCGCGTTGGTTCTTCAGAAGTAGGCATTTTTCCTATTTGTCGGTACTACCATGACTTAAATAAAAATAGGTTTAACAGTACTCTTGCTTGCGTTCTGCTTGTCATCTTTCCGACCCAATCACTCTGCACTCTCTCGGCAGCCTGCACTTGTCAAATTGTGATTTCTTGCCCCGATAAGAGGTCTGATTGAACTTTTTTTTTTAGCCCTCGGAAACCCATAGGCCCCGGGAATGACTGTGGTTGTACCGGTCAGGCATAGCGGCTTCCAGCGAAATGAAATGGTGGGACAATACAGGATTGATGGTGATTTCTTCTAAATATTGTTTGTGTCTGCTGACCTCACAACCCCATGTAATACTGTGTGTCAGGAGCGCGGAAAATGGCCGTTTGCACTGTGGAGGCCTGAGATATATCTTTTGTTGCGTCAATGATTCGATGGGTTCTCGGTGAAAGCAAAAAAACAGCGGCAATAGAATGGAACACGTTTAGGTTAAGTGATAAGCAAATATTTGTTCAGGATTTTGAATGGCCTCAGTCTTTAGCCCAGCTTAATTGTGCCATTGTTAGTGCTTATAGAGAAGGTCAAGATAATACTCTAGGCACATAGAAAGCTTTTAGGAGAAGGATGACACATACATTTGAATATATTTATTAGTTACATATTTTTGGGAGTTTTTTTTGTGTGACAATTATTCAACAATCACATGGTGGGGGAGTGCAACATGTTTTTGTTTTTTTTAATGATTATGTTTGATTTGATTTAATATCAGGAGTTTGTGATTTTCTGATCTTTCTATGTATTATTGAGTTATTGATATTATAACCATATTTTGCAACAGTCACATCATGCAACACATTGCAAACATAAGCATGAGACTGAGATATAACTATAATGTTGTGTTTTTGGTCAATCTACAGCCCCAAAAGCCTTCATTTTTTACTGAATTAGTAAAAAAGAAAAAATTGAATTGAAAGTCCCCTGTATGGTATTGGCGGTCTCTTAAACATACCCAGCCTTATACACAATGGGGTCCAATATTTCTGGCATGTTCCTTTTCTTAAGAGAGGTACCATAAAGTAGTTTGACTAAGATTTCTTACCCTGGAGGACATTTGCATAATTACCTCTTGGATTTTTGGATTATCAGATTTCACAGCCCCCTTACAGCTCTGTCGTTTAATTAGCTCATCCAGCTACATTTTTCAATCAGTTAACATTTGTGATAGCATTTTCCTCAAAACAGGTAACAAGAACGTCCATAATGCCATGGACGGCCTATGTGTCATCATACAACAGCAGAAACACAAACAATGAATCCATAACTCAAATTTGTTAATGGAGTTTCTGAATACTGAAATGTTTCCTGTATTATTATTTTTTTCTTCATAATTCTTTGTGTAGCTCGTTGCTGTTAGAAGCCACAGCAACTTCTTTCTCATTTGTGTTCTTGGGTTAATGAGCCCGAGCTAATGGTGTCGTGTGAAAAAAGGATTGTATCATAAATTGCATTCCGGTATTCTCCACTACTATAAACTGCTATAGGAGTTACACTGTTCATTCATTTGTATTGTTGTCACGGAGGCCACAGGCTGTCCCAGCAGTCTCGGTCCACCCCGGACTAACGCTATTTAATCACCATGTGACATTTGCACACATTCACCTCCACACTTTCTCCTGAGGGCAGCTCCAGCAACCACGTCTGACCAGTGTAGGAACATACATGCCAGGCACCTACGCATATAAGAGCTGCCAGGTTTAATCAGCTTAACTATTAACTTACTATGATGATAAATACCATACTGAGGGTATTGCCATGCCTCGTTTTAAAGGGTAATGAGGGGGGATGGCAATATACCACAGTACAGAAATGTGAAAGACTGAGGCACTTAAAAAGGATATTATTAAAAGCCTTTATTACCCCATGGGACACCGGGCCTTCGTCAGGGCATTCGTCTCGAGATTGCGTCTTTTGTGCAGTTTTTAGAGGTCACATGTCAGGCATAGACTGTATATTAGGAGTGCCCAGTGCTGACGTCACCATTGAGTTTGCAGAATGCAGCAGAGGCAGATTTGAACATTGAACATTAGCTGGAACCAGTTGCCGTATATGGGCATTCTTTTCGATGGCAATAGCTTTGTGCCATAACAGGGGCAGGTGTGTTGCTAAGATACTGTAGTTGTGAAGGCAAGCTCTAGTTTCCTCCGTGTATCAAATCGATCAATCCCTGTATGGCTCATATCTGGAATTACAGAGACAATGTCAAAATATAAACTCCAGGATCATAAAGAGACCATGGATATTTTAAAGCCCAAAATGGTGAGGGTGACAAATGCTTACTGAGCTAGTACACTCTGGGTCACCTGGTATCTGGGACAAATTCAAGCAAACACAATACAGTTGGCAATTCACATGCATATCATTATTCAAAACATTCATTGAACATGTGATACTGTACATGACATGACATATACGTGAAGTATAAAAGACAATGGTCCTATTGAAAGGGGGAAACAGCTACTTCTTTGTTGAGACCAGGAAGTGTCCCTTTTAATATGTAGATACAGAAGGATTCTTTCTCTTCTGTCTCTTCCTATTGCAGCTTCTGGATCTGCTCAATGGCATATTTTGGGTGTTGCAACTTTGTAATGCATGGAAATTAGATACAAAGGGGTAGTTGTTCTCATGGCTTGTGTGTGTTTGGCCAGTTTGATTTTTTTTGTACTCCTGTCTTCTCAATTTCTACTCAGTATACTGTATCACATACCCTTAATCAATATGGCCTCCATGTTACAGTTACAATGTACATCCCAATACATTGTGCTTGATATAATTGTCACAATAGATGGATTTCCAAAACAAGGATCTTAATACTGTTCTGAATGTATTTATTGCAGTAATTACAGATAGATTTGATGTTTATGTCTATAATTTTAGTATTTTAAGACTGCTGCTGATTTATTAATAACTCACTCTTACTTTAAGCCTTTACTTTAAGGTTGACCTACTTTTAGACCTAACCCTACTACAGCTGTCAATAGTGGGTTGCATTTATAAGTTGCCAATTTTCAGTCTCTTTATATTCAAAATCATGATGCTTCCTGTATTGAAACTCATCTTGAAACACCTTGAGGACAGCCTGTATACATTAAAACTCGGGAATTAAACTTTCAAACCACACCACAAATGTAACTATGTCATAGAATTAGTGCTTTTCGATCAAAATCACTAGTTTTCACATGCAGGTATTATCGCAGATAAAGGTGACTCACAGGGCTCTTAATCAGAAGTATGCAAAAGATGACGTGTTTCAATAAAATAAGGACAGGATGTTGTGGTCTGATTTGCTCAAAACATTTCATTTTTACAAGACCATGAAGATTGCACAACACTAGAAACCCAAAGATTATGTGGCCTTAAGGGTTTGGTTAGTTCAGGTTATTTCCTGCTCTCACTTTCCATTTGAAAGAACATTTAAGACTGGTTTCATAACAGTGTTGTGCATCGACCACTGATTTGAGATTATTCAAATGGTCAGTTAAGTTTGAGGCTACGAAGAAAATGCATTATTATGTAAATATTTGTTTGGGCGACAGTGGCTCAGTTGGTAGAGCATTGGCCTTAGAGCCTGAAGGTCGTGGGTTCAAGCCCACCACGAGACCTTCTTCACGACTCCCACTGTAGTTGTGTCTTTGGGAAAGACACTTAACCACACTTTGCCTGAAGCCCCCACTGAATAATCAAGACTCCCCACCTGCAGGAGGATCAGTGAGGGGCTGGTGCAGCTTTGACTGCCACCCCCCCGACCCAGAAATGAATTAGAGGAAGAAAATGGATGGATGGATAATTGTTTGTCTCTCCTCAAAAGAAGACATTCTCAAATCAGACCCTTGGGCGCTTTTTATGTACGTTTTACATATACTCAGTCTGTGTTTCTGTTTGAAAGTATGCATTTCACTACCTTGGACATAAAACTTCCCACTTTTCTCGTCAGAATAAGCCACTCTACTTTTATCTCATCTCAATGACCATGTCTGTTATGATGCCTCAAGCTGGAGCCTAGTTTTACGAGATATTTCCCATGCTTGGATTTGATCATTTCATAGCACACCAGTTGATCCTTAATTAACGTTAATGATCGCTTCTATCGGCCTCACTGGACTGCGTCTGTGCTGTGTCTATTCCAGGGACTGTGTGTGCAGCCTAAATGACGAAGTGGAACCTGTTCAAGCACCAGACGACGCCCGGGGGTGATGCCAAGCCCACGGGTGACGGTGCTCCAGAGGTGACCCAAGCTCCTGTGGCTATGGTCGCAACCGAAAACAACTCCACGGAACCGGTCAGCACCAAGAATGACGCCTTCGATGAGATTAAGAACAAATTCCTTAACGAAATCGACAAAATCCCACGTGAGTTTTTGATTAAGCAAACTTCTATTGACCAGACTTAAGCAATGATTTTGGAATTGGATTTGCTCTGGGACTGCAGGCCACCTCATAATGTCTTGATTCAGTATTGATTCAAGCTTGGCCTTCTAATGGTAGCTAAATCTAATTTTCACCCAAACTAATTGCTAACCTAGCGCCCCGCACTAAATATATTGGACAGAGGACATGACAGAAAGACCGTTTAATGATCCATTGGTTGAATGTCAAACAATCTCCCTATGCACTACATATGCACATACACATCCATCAAATCATTACCTCAGCAACAGTTCAAGTAAGTGATGACAAATAATAATAAAAGCCGCAAGCAGCAATTACAGCCCTTCGCCAAACCTTACAACTACCTCCCAGCCGCCAGTCTGATGAGTGGTATTCAGTGTATTTGTGAATGAATATGCAGCCTGAGCCAACTTAGAACATGCACAAATAAAGCTTATCGAAAGGATTCTGTGTGCCTCTAGTGGTCAAGCGTGGGACATACACCCCCTGCTTACAATAATATTTTTCTTGTATGGATGTAAAGGGTGTTTAGGTGCCAGTCCGTCCTATTAACATCTGGTGTTAAACAAATCCGTGGCGCTAAAACGGTTGGAGATCGCTGCTCTAGAGGACTTATTGAGTGTATCATTTTTATGCTCAGGCCATAACCAAATATTAGCTATGTGAATTTCAGCTCTGCAAGTCCAAGCGTGTCCATGGTATATAAATAATTTAAACTCCCCACTGTTCTCCCTGTGCCCCTCAGTGCCGTCATGGGCCATCATCGCCATCGCCGTGGTCGCAGCACTGCTCATTGTGACCTGCTGCTTCTGCGTTATCAAGAAGTGCTGCTGCAAGAAGAAGAAGAACAAGAAGGGCAAGAAGGGGAAGGGTGACATGGGCATGAAGAACCTGACGGGTGGACAGGTGCGTTCCAGCGTGGCAGTACAAGCGGAGCCTATACATCTGCTGCTGCCATGCCGACGCTAACCTCCTATTAGCTCTGGCGAAGAAGAAGCCAATTTTATGTTGATTTATTTTGCTACATTATTTTAGTTATTTTGTATAATGCAGTCAGTGTCATTTGTTGTTCTTTTTTTCAACAATTACTTTATCATTTTTTTGTTAAGTTTTCAAACGTACTTGTTGTTAATGTTGTTGTGTTTTTTGGGGTTGACGGGGGAGAATGGCCAGATTTACTCATAAAGTTTACAATGGCTTTCAGCGATAATTAAGAGTAATTGCAAAAAATAAGTAGTACGGCCCACGCTTTTGTCCCGCCTGTCACCGTGATAGCGCAATGTGATTTAGGACCCAGTACATAAAAGATGAGTTATTTTTAAACTTCACAAGATACAATTGGCTCCTCTGTCATTCTCCGCCGCTCCCGACTGTGTAGCTGACTGCATTTGTTGTGATAACCCATATTTTTGGTGTCTGTTGTGAGTTCAATCTCTTCCTTTGTCTCTGCTCTTCCTCCTTCTCGCTTATGTCTTATGTGTGCTCCGTTCTATCTTGACTGTGATGGACCACTCTGGCCTACGGTAGGTCTGACAGCACGCAGCAGCACCCCTCTCTGGCCACTCTGTGTAAGCGCAGATCCGGGCCGGTGGGGGGGGCAGTGAATGGGGGTGGTTGGTCTTGGGGGCTTGGTCTTGGCAGGGTTGGATGGATTGCGGTTTTGATGTTTATGGTGACAATGACAATGACAATGAGTGCTATGGCTTCTTTAGTTCCTTGCAAGCTTAGGTGCTTTGGGCGCTTGAGGAGTCTATAGGAGCAAACAGCTGCTTCGCAAAACCACTGAACTGATATGCCGCACCAACTGCTATGTCTTGAATCGTTCTAGAGTTTGCTCCTGTCCCTTCAAATCCCGCAGATTAGACATTTTTCAACTGCAAATGAACATGAAACTCATCCTTTGACCCCTTGAATGACGAGTGCACTCAGCAACTCACTAGAATTCACTAACATGCATGTGCAAGGGATAAGCTGGGTGTTTGTCAAATAAGCTTACTCATCTTATAGTTTCATCATACTGAACATACTGTATTTATCAATTTGTAGCCTAAAACATTGAGTCAGACCATTTGAGGTTTACTGCAATTTACACACATACAACACACATACAACACGCACACATACACCCAGACACACACACACCCACATCTATCTTCATCCAAACACATGCAATACATGAGAAAGACTTGGCAAAGACCAGCATATGCCCTTGCAGCAAGAACCATTGAATGGCCACAACTTGACTTGAGAGTAACATTCCTGGATGACCCATCTGGACCCATACTGTATCTGCAGATACTTGGTGAAAGTCGAAAAGAAAAGCAGAAGTGTGAATTGCGGGGAAGCGGTGTGTCAGGATGGTGCCTACGCTCGGCCTATGACATCTCAGCACACGTTAAAGCTTTAGCATGGCGTGATTCACTCCATGTTGTCAAAGAGTGGGCGCATATTCAGACACACCGCATCTCCATCAGACCACACTCAAATTAGATGACGCTCAGTCTAGCATGAAGCATTCTCGAATGCGCACAGAATTTTTTAATCTTAACAAAAATCTGCCTCCAGTTAACAATAATGCAAATACATTCCCAGGAACTCTGGGATATTCATACATACATTTGCCATCACAGATAAATGTTTTTTTGAATACTGCATTGTGTGGCCTGGCATGCATGAATGAAAAGCATTAGCACTTCAAAGATAGAGAATGCCAAAAATAAGGACAAGTTTATCAGTGAGTGTGAATGAGAGCGTATGAGAGCGTGGGCATGCTTAAGCATGCATGTAGATACTACTGTGTGACTGAGTCTGTTCTTTTCTAGCTACAAGTAAGTAGCAGCACACACCATTCCTACAAAGATGTGTGTTCAATTTCTCTGTTTTAGGAAATTGGGCCATGCAGTATCCCAGTGAAAGTTTGTTAGCGCAAACTGATGATTCATGACTAATCTGGGATGTGTCAAAAGAAATTAAATTAGACATTTTATGAGTAGGATAGATGGCAACAGCTGTAAATACATGATATGCTATAATCTAGCATGGAGAGAATTGACACCACAGCAGCATTATGGAAACAGTTTTGTCTTTTATTTTGATGCTATGCGGGCATGATTGCGGAAAAATATTTGCTATGACTAATTTGTGATGAGTGTGTTTCTATATTAGTATACTTCAATTTGTATGGCAGTGTTTGCCAGATCCTTCTTTTAACATTTAATAATCATAGAATTAAAAGGACTGTTTCTGTAGACTGATAGAGGTCTTGTTACATTTTTGTGCATCCTACTGACTTCTATATTCTTTTCTCTTATCTCTCTTCTTGTTCCCTGCTTCTGGTTATAAAAAAAAAGACTTTCCACCACACATTGTTTACAAAAATCCAAGTCATATTTATGAACAGATAAAGCGCAAATGGTGTCACCCAAGAAATAGTGAAATCAAGTCAGGTTGCACCCTTGGCCATCGATGAATAAATTGCACTTGTAACATTTGAGCCGTGGTAAGTGGCAGGTAGGTGCTGTAACTAATCCGATTGCTGATGCCCATGGCTGCATTTGCCCCAAAAGCACTGGCCGCTCACTGCCCTCTCTGCACCCTCCCCTCCTCCCTCTGTGTGTGCAGAAACCACAGGACGACGATGATGAAGATGACGATGTGGAGCCTGAGATGCCTGAGGAGAAGGAGGTCGAGGTCAAAGAGAAGGAGAAACTCGGGAAGCTGCAATACTCTATTGATTATGACTTCCAGGAGAACAAGGTGAGATTACAGCCTCAAAAAACGATATGTTTGTGCTGTTGTGGTACTGGCTCTAATCAGGTCTCATCTCTCTGCAGCTGACCGTAGGCATCCTGCAGGCGGCTGATCTCCTCTCCATGGACAGCGGCGGCACTTCAGACCCCTACGTTAAGGTCTTTGTTCTTCCGGACAAAAAGAAGAAGTATGACACCAAAGTTCACAAAAAGACACTCAACCCAGTGTTCAACGAGACCTTCATCTTTAAGGTGAGTCTGATGCATGCCTTATTAAGAAAACATCAAAGCAGCCTCTGTTTGATTTCTGCCTGGTCCTCTTCAAGGCGCACTATTGCTTTCTCTCTAAAGACTTCCTCTGAGCTAACCCTTTTGGCCTGACGGGATGAAATGCAGCAGACATATTGAAGGTGTTTGACAAAGAGAATATGGCAGAGAATCAAATTAAAGGAGAGGGCCACCTCTGGTGCACGCTGCCCGCTGACACAGCTCTATAAAAACAATTCAAACTGCTTTAGTGAGCCAAAGTCAGCCCCATCTGCTGAAGCAGCTTGCCATTAGGTTAGACCATTTGGACCCCTAACACCATCTTTTTCAATGGTCCCTGAGAAATCTATTACTGGTCAAGTACTTTTGGGTTCAAAATATACTTCTACTTGTGTTTTTTTAGATTCCATTCCAAGAGATGGGAGGAAAGACTCTGGTTATGTCGGTCTACGACTTTGATCGTTTCTCCAAACATGACGTCATTGGGGAAATTAAAATCCCCATGATGAAACTGGATCTGGCTAAGCCCATCGAGGAGTGGAGAGACTTGGACAGTGCCGACCAAGAGGAGGTGAGATACCATTATGTGATTACAATAGCTCGACCAATATGGGTTTTCTGTAGCCATTTTTTTCATCGCATATATTGAAAGTTTGTGCTAATGCTATTGTGCTAGTTAGCAATTAGGACATACATTTGTATTCTAATGTAGTTTTTTCTGCAAATGGCAATAATTTGATTCTGATTATTGAATTTTGACTTGATGGATACTCATGGGATTTAAAACAAGAGGAAAAACATGAGTACCATGATATACACTCCTTTTTTGAAAAAAAATGGACTCAACTTAACTGGACCAAAAATAAGGAAGGCTGAGTATTCCAGACTGATTATATTTTTCATTTTGGGTTTAGAGTAAATTCACTATGTGGTTGTTTTCCTTTACAATGAGGTATTCTATGCCACGGTAGCATATCAGCCTGATGGGAGGAGGTTAAGGCTGCAAACACCTTAAATATCCACCCAATGTATTGGCCGACCTCCAGTGATTTATGATAACCTGCAGAATGTCACAGCTTTGCAATATAACTCGAGCCTTTCCCACTGCTGTAACAAGCCTTACAACTACTGCCTTGCCAAAAATGAATACAAACAAAACAATCTTTTATTCATATTCATATTATATAATTGTTATTCCAAAAGCATTTCTTAGCGAGGGTTGGATATTCGGCTTATATGCTCGACATACAGACACTATATTTAAAGCTGCTATTTTGAGGACTCAAGTGAAACATGTATCACCCTACTTTCTCCCCCACAGCCAGAGAAGCTGGGTGACATTTGCATCTCCCTTCGTTACGTCCCCACGGCCGGAAAACTCACCATCTGTATTCTGGAGGCTAAGAACCTGAAGAAAATGGATGTGGGTGGACTGTCAGGTAATGACACAATGCACAGTGGAAACGTAATGCAATTTAACTAGCCTATTAGGGAGTTTATTGCTGTCATCCCTGTACCAAATTGCATGCATGTTTAGCTTCAAGTGGAATTAGGCTTATCGCTGGTGCTGGTGTGTGGAGGATGGTGCTTTGAGCTCATCCCTGCTCCTCTCACGTGCTGACGCTGCAGTACTTCATGCAGCAAGCGTGATTTACTGTGACCTCAGCGGTACTCCCATCTGTTGGCTGAAATAGGTACTGCTCTGCTCTCCCCCTTCACTTTGCATTTATGTTGCAGATCCCTATGTGAAAATTAACCTGCTGCAGAACGGGAAGAGGCTGAAGAAGAAGAAGACGACAGTGAAAAAGAACACGTTGAATCCGTATTATAACGAGTCGTTCAGTTTTGAGATTCCACTGGAGCAAATGCAGGTATGGCTGAGAGATAGGACTCATCATTAGTCATAGATTAACGCTGGGGAACCTAAATACCTAAATACTCTTGTTTGTCCCAACAGAAAAATTCTCGTTTAAGAAACATTTTCATATCAGACCTCAATATGCTGACTTTACCTTATTAGAAAACATTAAGATTAATTAAAGGTATATAGGAGGATTTTCATGAATATAGGAAAGAACCGCCCTCTCTTCTTTTTGAAAAAATCCACATGCTCTACCTGCTCCTGTATGGGAACGTTAAACATGTGCAAGAGACACGAGCCCAGTTCTCCTCTGTTTACAAGTCACTGTCAGCAAGCATCGCTCACACAAGCTCACTTTCCAAGAAGATTTGCACTTTTTCACTATGTCAGACAATATAGACGTAGGTAACTCTTACTGGAAGTGATTTGAAATGGATCATGTGAAAGAATCTCCCAAAAACACTCTTTAGGTTCTCTCTTCTGAAGCCTGATCTTCTCATACACTTCAAAGACACTTTTTTCTTGCAACCCTTTTCAAAGAACCCGGTGAGAACTGCGAGCTTGATGAAGGCGAAGCTCACCATATGCACCTGAAAGCACGCAAACCAGTTCTTCATGATCCACCCGGGAAAAGAAAAATCCTCTTGTATACCTTTATCCTTTATTCGTCCACAGGGGGAATTTCAAAACATTGTATCTTTTACACACTGAGAGCTGTTAGTAAGAATTATGTACATACAGTTCAGTACCTAGTTTTATTGTTTTGTGTTAGGTACTGATTTAATCCATCGATGGTTACTTACAAGAAATTCTATGAGAAAATTTCAAAAATGAAATGAATGGAGCAAAAGGAAGATTTTGATATACTTATATTCACTCTGTGCTTGATCAACATTTTAACTTAGGAATGTTTTGTCTAAACAACATTTAATATTAGTTATAATTATAATATTATTGTATATTATAATATACAGACTGGAATGTCCCAGAGTTTAGCATTCAAAACATTCATTTATTCATTGTATTATTTATTCATTGATATTTTGCGCAAACAAATGCATTATGAAGGAGTGTCTCAGGATGTGACCTTCACCTGCTCGGCTCAGAAAAGAGTCGTATCTCAGTTCTATGTATCACTGGATGTTCCACTGATATAAAACTGTATCTCATTACCTACCGTCATTACGTTATTATTGTGTTGATGCATACATTAAGATAAGTACAAGATGGAAAATACAATGCAATCCTTTAAACTGAACTTATGTAACTTTTGTAAAGAGACGTGTCAACTGCATGATTCCAACATAATTTAATTTAAGAATATTAAATGAAATGATTACACAGGCTGGCATGACAGAAGTAGTTTTTTGGCAGTGACGTGTTGAGTGTGAAAATAGAGCAGTAATTTAACTATAGCTCGTTGCTTACATGTGGGTCAGGTGATGACGGTTAAAAAGGTACACACCAGTCACACAAGGGCAATACTTTGCATATGACAGCACAACAAACTGTGTAAAAAAAACAAGCAGTACGTACAACAATGGGCTGTTGTACACAATGCTATGGGCTCTATGCACGCACCACTTCTGCTTTTTAGTTATAACCCCACTTGACTTCCTGTGTGCGGAGAACGGCTTGAGTTTCACTGGAGTTCAGCAGTGGTTTCCTAAATAATGCTCAAACGGGAATTAAACTGTGAGGATACTGGCCATTTTTGGGACACAACAGTGCTCTTTGATTGTGCTGTCATTGTGCTTTTATAAAGTTAACTAATCTCTCTGAGTGGCCACAGTCAAAGCTCTACCTCAGAGAGAAAGCACGGCAACACTTTTGGGTCAGTCTCACAGCTGAATGTATCTAATTACTAAAAAACGTCACTACAACTCACCACAATGCCATAGCGATAGCAAAGACAGGAAGTGAACGGGCTGTTCTTTGTTAACAGGAAATGACGTCACGCCTCCCCGTGCATATAGCCCATTTCCTTTATAAAGTTGTTCTTGAAAAAATATGCAAACCATTTGTTATACCAACTCCACATAGACTTTAAGCTTTCTGTTGTATTCTATAATTAGGAAAGTTGACTGTGACAATAGAAGACTAGAAGTTTGTTTTAACCATTCTCTCTTGACACAATCCCGTCTTCCCATTGACAAAAATCCAACATTGGTCCAAAACCAAATAAATAACATGATTTATTTTCACACACCAGAAAATCCAAGCCGTCATCACAGTGCTCGATTACGACAAGATCGGTAAAAACGACGCCATCGGCAAGATCTGGGTGGGAAGCAAGTCCACGGGGGCCGGCCTCAAGCATTGGTCCGACATGCTGGCCAACCCCCGCCGCCCCATCGCTCAGTGGCACCCCCTGCAGCCCGAAGAGGAGGTGGATCAAGCCCTCGCCGGCCTGACTGCCAAGAAGTAAACCCCCCTCAGCCGAAAGCCCTCCCATATCTCCCCCCACGTATCCCATCGAACTCCCCCCATGTCTTTAATATGTATCCAAGAGGAAGACCACCACTACTGTACAAGCCCTCCGCTTCACTCTCTTCGCCCGCCTGTCGGAAAACTCCATCGATCTCATCCAGACATGAAATACGGGAAATACTGTAGTTGATTCATGTCATAAGAAGTCGTTGGCCAAGATGACACCAGATGGACAGATACTCCACTGATTTGCTTTAGATCTATTTTTGTATTGGGGTTGTGGTTCCATGCATACGAATACCGGTCAATATAGGCAGAGGGTAAATCAGCATCCTATCACTCGTATTGTACTCCCCAGCCCTTCCCTTTAGTGACACAGTTTGCATAGAATAGTGCTTAATAATAACAATAATAATAATAATAATAATAATAATAATAATAATGCTTTATACTGCCATAATGATAGATAAATAACACAAGAAGGTCAGTTCTGTAGGTGTGTGGTACACCGCGATCTTCACCTGCCAGTCATACAGTAAGTAGATGTTGAGTTGTTGTACATTCCTAGAGCTGGGTAACTAATAGGCACATATCAGCTACCCAGAACACACTGCCTTTTTTTGATTCGTTCACTTGTTCACCTTTCATCTCAGGGAAGATGAGAGGAAATCCATGCCTTTGTTTTGGAAACGGGTTGGTGTTGTAGTTATTACTATATTATGATGCTTCTCTCTACTGTACAAGTAAAAAGCAATGTTGACTAAAGTCCTGCACATGTTTTTTTTGTATCCATGCGAAATAGGTTGCGTTCTTGATTTTGACGGTGTCACAGGTGGAGGGCAAGGATTTTGAATGATTTGATATGTATGAATCCCACAAACATTGTAACCACTTGGAGATTGAGTCTACAAGCTTCTAGTCTTGTGTTGTCAGGTTATTTCATCTCGCAAAGTTGAATATTCAAGATAACCCCACCGTGTTTTTGCCTTGGCAGTTAAAAGCTAGCTTGTGTGGACTTACAGGTGGAACTCGGAAAACAAGAATATCACTCAAAAGTCCAGTCACTTTTAATTTAACTAACAACGTGAGGCTAATGTGACACTCATTACACACACAGTGACATATTATATCATGCCTGTGTTTGTTATGAGGGCTCCCAGCTTGTAAAAAACAACAGAAAATGTGAATATTTGTAATGGCATATCGTATATCGTTTTGCATCGTATGAGTCTGAATCATAAATTGATTTCACAAGTAATAAATTCACTTTTGAACGGTATTCTGATTCCACCTGTACAACTTTGTGGATGGTTTGGTTTTGTAATTCCGATAATGGATGCAACTGCAGATCCAACTATCTGCAGTATGAACAATCTCCTCTGTCATAGAAATCCTACTTGCCCTCCAGCTGAATTTAAAACTAATGGACAGTCCACAAAAGATATGGCATCGTATAAACCCGAGCTAAGGAGCGATGTTCTGGTGGAAAAAGGTGAAATAGAAGTAGTTTGTCCCACAGCAGTCCTCCTTCAGATCCCCTATCTCTGTTGTTCAGTGCTACTGCCATTAGTCATGGACTCCACACGAGGGTTTTTCAAAGGCAGCCCTATAAAACCGTCTTACAGTCATAAAGGAGACAAGCCTTCCAAGTAACAAAATAAGCAATTCTCAACTTACCAGGGACGCCTTCCAGTTCACAGTGTTGTTGGCTTCATTTTGCCTTTGTTTTTTTTATTTTGTTATTGTTTTAATATTGATTTCCTCAAGCACTTTAAACCGTTCTGTTGAAGTACAGCATAGACAAAGCTTTAATCATTTAGTTGCCAGTTTAAGCACGAGTGCGTTTGATTCTTTTTTTGTTTCTGTTGTCGTATGGTTTCGTCTCAATGATTGCAACAGACTGGAGAAGGCACTGATCCATATTTTCTATACAGCTTACCAAACAGTGGAATTGAATTGCACTACTATAGGTGTCATTGTATTTGTTTTAAACCTGTGTAATTATGATTTTAAATGTTGTGAGACTGTAAGTTGTGCTTCCTCTTAACAAACACAAGAGACACCTTCCAGTCCGATGCTGCATACACACCAACAGAATGTAATTGGTTTGATCCAGTAATTTCAGATGTTCAAAATCTCTTTGTGAAAGTGACGCCAAATCTGGATAAAATTATATTCGTGAACAGCAACAACTGTTTTGTGTGCAAGACAATGTGATTTAAATGCAGTCAACCGCAAATGTCATGGAACTTGAATGTTGTATTTTTATTTTATTTTACCTGATTATGGCATCTTCCTGATTTATTTCAAGCATTGGTTTTAGTTTGAAGCAACACTAAAGAAAAGGCAACACGGAAGCAATCAAGCAACCCATCAATGTGTAGTTTTGCCTATATACATAGCTCATACCCGTTGATAATGCATGATTATACAAAATAATGTACATAAGAGCATGTTTTAGAGACAAAACAACAGTATCTGGTGTATGTGGGTGTCATTCGTCATTTAATAACACGACAAAAAGGGAAAAAAATGCACTGTATATTTTCTAAAGCCTATTTCTTTTCCATCAGGGTCATTGGAGTGAATGTCAATCAGATATTAGAGTAATATAATAACAATAATAACATTTCCACGCCTGAAGAAATCTTAAAAAGCAAGTGTGTAGTCCAGTGACGTGTGATTTCATGTAGGATGAAGACGTAGCCGCATGCTTGCTATCAAATACAGTGCTTATACACCGCTGCAAAACATACCATTTATTTACCATGTCTTTCTGCGTTTAATTTCAGTGCTTATGGGAAGGCCAGTTTTGAGTTTATTTAGAAATTTGTGTGAAAGAACGGTAGCCAAGTCTTAAATGTGTTGTTTTTTTGACAGCTGATTTGCAATGCTGAATAAGTGGGAGGTTATAAATAGTGCCAGGTCTAAGGAAAGAATGTTTTTTGAATCTTTATGTAAATTTCAGACTTGGCAACCGTTCTTTTTTGGATTCTATTTTCCCACTTCTGTCAAAACAACCTGAAACCCCTCACTGCTGTCTCTTTTACTGTATTGATAATAATATGTATGTGTGTGCGTGCGTGTGCGTGTATATTCAAGATAAATCTATAAGATGAAGCCATAAAACTTAAGCACTAACTCTTTATAGCTCTGCTGAGTAGCTAGAGTGGATTTATGAAAAAAACGACTTATAAATATATAGATATAAATATATATGTTCATTTATCGTATACATTCCTTTCAGTAGGAGGGCGTAGTCCATTTGAATCCATCGGAGCGAATGTGTTTTTCTACTTTCCGAGCCGTTGATGTCCTTTTGAAGTATCGTGATTAGTAATGTATATGCTTTTGTTTTTGATAGCATATTGATATATTATTATTACTACTGTAGGTCTCACATACCGCTCACAAGTGTGTTCTAAATTTAGGCTGAGTGCAATGTGTGAACCGAACTGGGTCACTCTTTGAAGTTTCTCCTCACAGCAGTGCAACACCAGTCTTAAAAAAAGTAAAACATAAAAAAAATACAATCAGAAAAAACGCAATGCCATCAACGCAAAACAAGTCGATTTGAACCTAAAGGAGTGGCTCTCGTTTGCCTCCCATAGAACTATGCATTAGCCTATGATTTGTATACACACACACACACATAGACCAATGCATGAATATAGGTCGAGATTAAGTTGCCAAATTTTGTTACGAAAAAAACTGCCACTACAATCCTTGGTGTGACGTGCAACGCTCCCAGCCTTGCACTAAAGCACCGTCTGATGCAATATTAATCGAATCCCAGAAATGGATTGACTGTGACCAAATGATGCACTAAGACGCATTCAAAACACAAGGGTTACTTCTGTTTTATTTTTATTTTATTAGTAGAAATATACTGCCAGTACGTTTCAGCATTTGCCTACACCTGCTGTTTGAATCTCCAGACACAGACTAATCGAGCAGCAAAGACGTGGGGCAAATGCATGTACATTTAGAGCACATTATTATAAGATATTTCCATGTTTTTTGAACTGCCTGGTCACCTCAAGCCACATGACCACGGGAGGTTCTATGGGGGCAGAGACTGCGTATGGGAATGATTGGAGTTTGATGTTCAGGCCCTTTAAGTTGCAAAAAATACACTAGAGGTTTGCATGGGACAGTATTCAATATCGCTGTATGTACAATAATCACACAACATATTGTTTGGTTGTGAGGTTGGATAGTTGTCAATGCACATTACAAAAATGTGCGGCACGGTTCACACTCTATTGTATATTTTTTGTTTGAGAAAGGGTAACATCAAGGTTATGGATTGTGGATTTCTGCACAAACCTATTTACAAGTCAGCTGTTTTAATAATACCCGCTTTTGCCGATGTAACTCGTTGAGACATTTCTTTTTGTACACTGTTTTGTTCAAGTCTTTTTCTGTATATGCTAAATAGAAAATTCTCATTCAACCTGGTTTGTATCAATGGAACGCAGGCCTTCACAAAATAATGGACATTCTTTATACTGCCAAGCATTGTCCCTGTAGTAAATTTACGGCTTTATTTTGTCATTTTCTTTCCTCCTTTCACCCTGATTTTCTCTTGGGGACGGTTTCGCTGTGTTTGTTGGTGTCTTGTGTCGTGGTGCGTGTGTTCCTGTCAGTTCTTGTGCCTAATGTGGATCGCATGCTTTAGCCCTTGACTGGACACAGATGTTGCTCACAAACTCCTCTTGACCTTTATGTGGACAAAACCGTTGGGGATCCTTATATTAAAAAGTTATCAAGGGAACCAAATAAACTTATTACGATTGATCATATGTGTTCTACGAGTTCTGTACAAAAAAAGAAATAGGAAATAAAGGCCTTTTAATTACCATGACTTTGAATGTGTTTGTCCCTGCATGGCTCCATCTGATGACGTCATGATCCACGCACCAATGCTGTTTGATGATGGGGTTTGGTACTTTTTATCTCTAGGCAGAAATCTGTTGTTATTATTGATTCAGTGATCTTCAATACCAATGTTGATTGTTTTGTTTTCATCCCCAGATAACAGATCTACATGTACAAATCATAATTTAGCCTTTTCAGTTATATTCAGTCATTCCTGATTAAAAGTACAATGGTCGTGATTTATGTTTATGATTATGGTTAAGATTATCCAATCAGAGAGCAGAATGAGTCCCTCATTTGGGTTTCCAGTTTGTTAGGTGAAATTAGTTGGTTATAGCCTTTAAACACAATTCACGAACAAAAAAGTACCACCCATTTGTTTTAATTAAAGCATGTACAATAAATAAGTAGCCATACGTAATACTGTTTCCAGCTAAACTCCAGAAGGTGGATTGAATCAGTAATAAAAGCTTACACAGATGGAGATATTCTGCCAACACTTACTGCTAATTGTTGTGACTTTTCAGACTACTTAAAGTGCATATTATATACCAGGGTTTGACCTTTAATCAGAATATATTCATTAAGATTAAAACATTGATTTTGCACGAACGTTCCGGACACAGTGGGACAAAGACATAACTGCAACAACGATCACACAAATATATGAGCCACTGACAAACAATGCTTCATCAGGGATTGAAGACATCCTTTATTCATAAAACATAATGAAACAGATGATTTTTAAAAAGTCTTTACTGGTGTTGTTTCTACAGAACAGCTTTGGATGAGTCAAAATTCAAACATTCACGGTCCAAAATGTAACAGTCAGCAGTGTGTGTGCATATAGGGCAATGCTATGGGCTTATAGGACAATCCTGGAAGCAGAGATACTGTATGTGGAGAGTAAGGAGAGACTGACTCTTTACATTAAATGATCTAAATCCATAATATACAATTCAAGAAAATATACAATTAAAGATGTTATATAAAACAACAGTAATACAATTGTGGCCAATAATATAATCACAGTTGCGGTAAAGGACAGAGAGACTATCCCAATGCAAACCTACACACCAAACAGTGGCAATACTGCGCAAGACAGCAACAAATGTGCTGAATATGGCTATAATTAGAAGTGATACAACTGAAAACAAACACTCTTTTTAAAATAACTATTTGAGTAATGAGTGTATATGGGTGCATGGTAGCTGCATATATTTGCCATACAATTTACTTGATTATAGCATGAGATTTAGCTTCCGTGATCAACACACACTTTACAGGTCATATAATGTGTCTTAAAACATTATCTTTGTCAATTTCAGGAGCCATACCACACTAGAGCCTGGGAATCCCGATGCTGCTGTGCCCTTGAGTTATTTTGAACTAGTGTTAGCCAGGCTGCCACTTAGTTTAAATTGTCCCTTGCAAACAAAACCAACTGTGAAATTGTAGTTCAGTAGTGCAAAAAAGTGGGATGCTAAAGGATTGAGCTTCATACAACATTTATTCAGACAACATGGGGACAAGTCAGTGGTATATTGTGTGTTGAAGGTGGTTTGCTATATAGTGAAGAAAATAAGTGCTTTAAATGCATTGAACCTCTTTGGAGTTTGACAATCACTAAACCGTAGAAAATGGGGTCGACGTTTGCATTTCCCTTACACACGTCGCAGTCCGTTCATTTCGACAGTTTGCTGATAACTCGAATAAGCGCTCCGTTCTCGTCCTTAAGTCGCTGGTTGTCTGACTTCAGCTCTGTCAAAACCTGCAGTATCGGATAAGACAAAACATGTTAGCGTCGGTACGTTTTGGAGTTGTAAAAAAAAAAAGAAGGCATGCGTTTCAACCCCTGGCCGTGCAGTGGAAAGTGGAAAGTTGAAGATAAGATCGAGATGTGAAGAAAGAGACAAGGAGAAGCCCGTGAGAGGGTCAACTCCACAAATGTAGGTCAGGTCTCTGTCGAGGAGCAGAGGCTAAAAATACACTGGTCTTTGTCAAAGTCTTTCCCCTCCAACTAAGATAAACAATAACAGCTGTACATTTCCCATTTTTGCTCAGACTGAGAGAAACATAATATATCTGATCATGTGGCTTGTGACTCTCAAATTATAGGACTGGGACGGATCATGATTCTTGAATTTGTTGAACACATTCATAATTTATTCCGGATTTAGATGTGGTTTAGTCATGGTCACATAGTCATAATGTATTTTTTTCCCAGAAGAAATAAGAAAATGCTATTGTCTGGAAGGATAGAACACTTATTCTCTTGATTATAATTTGTTTGGGATTGTTTTCATTTAGCAAAAAAGCATCTTATTCCTTCGTTCATAGGTGACCAATCCTAAATGCAGCTAAACCCCTCAGTCTGGATAAGCGTGTGTGGTTAGGTAATAACTGCGATGAGAGTCTTTGATATGACACATGAATGATGACCGTAGCTAAGAATAACTTCAAAAGAGGAAGACGTTTTTTGGAGGGGTGGGTTTCAAAGATAGGGCTTAAGACTGTTATTATACCACAGCGCTCAAACGAAATCAAAATCCATACTATAGAGTGGGTTGAAATGTGAACCTAGCTAACTGTGTGATAAATAAACACAGGTTATTCATCAGAAAGTGCCTTGTAAAAAAAAAAATCATATGATAATGTCCTGTCTTAATCTTGGTGCATATTTTTAATTACAGCCATGAGAAAATAAAGGTTTTTTAACTCTCTAAACTATTGACCACGAAGGCGTTGGATTTTTTTTAACTCTATAGGCTCTTCATGATTTGCCTTTACCTGGAAAGTCAACACTTAATCTTATTAGAAAACATGTTATATTTTACCAACACATTATTTTCTGTTGTAATGTTGGGCTATAGAGAAATAATAGAAATGAATTGCATATATGTAGAATTGCAATTTTTCAAGAGCCCATCCGCTCTCAGCCCAAAGTGTCGAATAGTGACTCACAGGGCTCAGTGAGGATGGTCTTTTCTTATCACATTTCTGTCTGAAAAACCTGATCTTAAGATGTGACAGAGGCAAAAGACACATGCATGTGAAAATGAGTGATACAACAAGACTTTTGAGAGCCAGCTTTTTCTCAGTTGAAATAGAAGCACCACAACTTTTATTACTTCCTATTTTGTTCTTTCCTTCTTTTTATTTTTCTCGTCCTAGTTTAGATTTTGCTTTAGTCCTGGCTTGTCAAAGTGAAATTCTAGAGGGATATTGCAGTGCAGTGGATGGATGGCAAAGCAGGACCTGCCTGAGTGGAGGAGGGCTGAAGGAGGAGGAGACAGAGCAGAAGTTTTGGGTTTTTAAGGACACAAAGAAGGAGCAAGGCAGAAATCAGAGGTCCTCGGTTTCAGGCATAGCAGCCGTTTCAGAGAGGCGAGCCAGGGCGCGCAGCATGGCTTTGTTCTCAGCCACCAGACATTGGTTGAACCTCCGTAATGTCTGCACCTGTGACAGAGCGGGGAAAGCCTGAGGAAAGAGAGGAGACACGGAGGTAGAGAAGGAGAGCGAGGCGTGCGAGGGGAGCAGGACACAAATACAGACAGATTGTAAAGGAGTGCAGTTTCATCCATTCAGTCAGTGTCCATCATAGACTGTATATAGACAACGCTAACCAGCTAGCTCAACAAAGCCCAATAGGGAAGTAGTCTCCTATTGACTTAGATTGAAAAATAAACTCCTCTCGCTCAGTGAACACCTGTGTCGCACTCACAATTGTGGATGTTTTGATGCTTATGATCATCTCGGTTTTCACCTTTTGATGTATTCTTTGTAAATCCAGATATATGATACGATAAGATGCATACAAGGATTGACCAATCGGATGTCTTAATTCACTCCTGCTTTTCTTGACAACCAACTGAGCAACATGTCTGCCACTGTTACAGCACAAAGCTAACGCCATGGGAGAAATGCCCTTTTAAGGAGATTGGCTCCAGCTAGCTTATGTTTAAATTGACTTTTTCCGTAATAAGGCTAACAGTGTGGTGACGTCAGCACTGGGTCAGTCCACTTCTGATATGTTCTATGGTCACTATTGGAATCATACACTTATGTTTGAAGCTGACCCGCCTAGCTTTTATCTTTAAAGTTTAAATAAATCAGCTACACATTGTCATCACGTAAATAGAAAACAATTGCATACTGGTAAAGAAAAGTAATTTTGTTTCCCAGTGATTTTGTTTTGTGTGAAAAAACTGGTTGTGCTCGAGGCCAAACGGCCGTGTATGTGAATGCTAATGATTTGTAGTGGATAAGAACAAGCTGGATGGATTTATATAGTGCCTTGTAAAAGTTAAATGTTGGGAACCAATCAGATCTCAACATGCTCTCTCCATCTTCAGAATCTTTCTATACTTCCTAATTTGGGAAATTTGAAGGTGGGAGAAGAGGATTGGATCCCATTATCCCTGTCCTTTTGAGCTGCAGTGCTTTCAGAAATGCACTCTTTTTTTCATTTGCAATATCTCCACTAACACCATCCGCCTCTGCCTTTACTTCTTCAAATTTCACTTATAAAACAGCTACTCTTCTTTAGAAAGACAGCTTTGTTTTTGGGCGACCTTGCACTACTTACCTATCTTACTTACCTAAACTACAAAACATGTAATTCTATCAAAACCCATTAGATACTGAGGCACACATACCAACATAGACAGAGAGACAGGACTCAGAATAGAAAAAAATCAATGCAAATAGCGTTTGTGAGAAAAGGGATAAAAGCAAAGGTAAGGTGTGCATTCTGTAAGAGTGCCATGCCTTTACGTCAGCGATTGTGAGATGAGTCATTGTGTGTCCAGCTTATTCAGACCCACAACAACACAGTTCAGAAGTTCTATCACTGGTAAACCGCCAACCCACACACCTCGCGTTCAGAGCAGTAATTCTAAAACGAGTTTGCTGCATCACAACTGTTACTTTTTCTGAAACAGAAGCGTGTTTGTGAAAGCCATTTGTCCGCCTGCACTTTTGTGTGAATGGGCTTTGATGAAGTAAAACAATTTTCAGAGATTACCACTTGGCAAGACAAAGCCGTGGGCTAGTCTCTTATAAAGCTGAGTACATGCATTGTCCAAATGACTAGTGTTCAGGTAATTATCTATGAGCCAATAAAAGCTTTCCAATTAACACCACTCCTATAAGTGTAGACTTTTGTTAGACCAAAAATATAAAAAGGAAAATGAGTTGTTACAATAGAAGTGGACACACAATTTGAATTCTTCTGATTGGGAATGAGAAAGAAGGTCTAATCCAAATCAATTATAGATTAATCCTGTTTAATCATGATTTTATTTTTTGCACACGCACTACAATAGTTTTGCACATTTATGTACAGCCAGCTAATCTTCCGGCATCACAGTTTTCCGTTCTGGCATCCGGAGAATAACAGGCATATGTATACTATTCTCCCAGCCATATTGGACCAGCAGCACCTGCAGTTGACAGAAATAACCACCTTCATGATTCATTCACAAGGCGTGAACGTAGAGCACTGTGTGTTGCGTTGGGGCGCCCTCTGGTGGTAAATGCGTGATTTGCTTGGCCACACAGTCCCAGACAAACATGGACCCTGAGAACAGTGAGGTGATGGCACACCGTGTGTCTGTGTGCTGTCCGCTGTCCGCTGTCACACGTGTTTACATGCCCTATAGAACCGTGGGGTGAGACATACAGGTGCCATATTGACCGAGCACTCACCATCCCCCTCAGGGCTGGTACCCACAGCGAAACAGCCGTGGGGGGTCCTGCTGAGGCAACCATAACAGCAGCAGGGGTCAAAAAAACAGCTACTGATGCAATATGAGCACAGACCCTGACTACTGTCTATTGAATGTGACCTATCTATTTCTTTTTGGCTGAGAAGAAGTATGTTTTACCTTATCAAAATTGTGCTTTATTTTTATATAATTGTGCTTGATAGTTAAAATAAATTGAATAATTCAGGAGCTCTATTCTCTGTGTATAGACTAAACTATATTCATACTTGTATAACTCAAAGGTGCATTCCAACTGTCCTGGTGGGGACCGTAGACGGTGACTGGCTTTTGTAAAAATGGTCCAATACCTGCTTTGTATATGCTATGTGTATCTATGTATATTCCTAAATTATGGATCATTTCTTTATAGTGTTTGGTTTTTTACAGTGAGAAGACTTGCCGTACCACAGATACCATTGTGACATTGCAGAGTGAAGTCACATGCTAGTTCACAATGTAAAAGGAAAGTGCTAATATAAATATCTAGGCGAAACAACAACATTTAGATTAACCCAAGCCAAAAGTGGACCCAGCACCAGGACAGTTGAGGACTGCACTTTTAAAGCAACTATGTGTAACTTTTTGGAGGTGGCACTTCACCTGCATGGACCCCGTGGAAATGTACCTTAAAATTTGGAATATTCTCCACACTAGATGTGATCAAAAAATAAACATTTATACAAGCAGATAACTTTGTGAAGGACCTTGTGAGGACCTTTGACCATTGTAAATATGTTCTATTCAATCTGGGGTACCTAACTTAAATCTGTGCTGTGAGTGGGGGTGGTCCCTACTTTTTCACCTAAAAAATTTACTGAATGTAACAGATGCCAAAAAATACATACACGTAAAACTTGTGATACGTTTCTCGAGTTACATGGATATTATTAAAGGTTTCATAAAGGGCTGTGTAGCTGCAGGATGTCTTTCCAACCAAGTAGGAGCTCACCAGACTCCACCCATTTTCTCATGGCTCCAGGTTAAGACTGGACTCACTTAAGGAAATGGGTGGAGTCTGGTGTCCTCCTGCTAGGTTGGTATGAAATCCTGCAGCCACCCAGCCCTGTGAGGACCAGTTTGACAAGTCATATACCAAATAACACAATAAAAACATAGAAATGCAATCCCTTTTCCCATCAAATTCCTTCATACACTAGTGACGTGTTATTTGGATGACCACTCGCACTTGTCATGTTGAAATCAGAGTATAGTGACTTGAATACAGTTTTGCCTTCTCCCACTGCTGCTGTCACATATTCACAGATCATATCTCTGGCTTTTCCTCTATGCCATTTAAACAGTTTATTTACTTTGGTGGAGCAGGAGTATACACAGTGCATTGTGGGAAAAAATCTCACAAAAGCAACTTGGATTGGGTTTGGTATTTGTGTGGAACTAGGTCACTGCGTTCACCCCGGCAGCAGAGAAGTGGAGCATGGGGCGCTGAACAAAAAAGTGTCCCAGCCAAAACACTGGAGCAGCTAATGAGCCCACATGAATTAACCTTCCCTCTCCTTGTCTGGCGGCCCACCTGGCCTACCGCGGACTGCAGCGTGCTCCAGAAATGACAACACGTGTTCTAATAGAGTTCATATGTGTGCATGTCTTTAAATGCTTTGTGAAGTACTATTAGTTTGCCTTGAGAATTGTGCAATATATAAAAAAAACGTTGATACAGTGGGACCAGATCCATTAATTTGCCAATAATTACACATCACAGAGAATAATACTTTGGCTTGGGCTGATTAGCTGTCTAAAGAATATACATAGCTTATTATTTTAATGTTTTGTGAAGCACTTTTGGATTCTTTTGTGCTATACAAAAACACTTTGAATGATTGGTTGGTTTATATTTTATGCAATTAGGCCAATCTGCCAAGATTAGTGTATTGCCGTTATTACAGTACATTGGATTATGAATAAAAGCTGAGGTACCTAATTTCTTATATATTTATGTTTACGATAAAAGGAGTCTTGTAAAAAGTGAGATTTTGTGAACAAATCAGACCACTGTATGTTGTGTTTACCTTATGAGAAAATATGTTAATCTTTTTCATACTTGTTAGAAAGAGCCCTGTGAGACACTATTTGGTGCTTTAGGATGAGAGAGTGTGGTCCTCTCTCTATTTTTTTTATTTTTTTACTTTTCTGTCTGAAAAAAACTGATGTAAAGATGTGACAGAGGCCAGAAATGCAGGCATGTAAGATGGATATTATTATTATTACAGTTCCAGTTTTGTGGTTTTAAAGTTAGGTACCCCAGCTTTTTTGATAATTTATTTAGTGATGTTTATCACTATTGGTTTACTTGGTTTCTAAAGGGGATTGGGCCTTAAAAAAATAAACAGGAGAGTTCTACAAAGACAGCTATTTTAAGTCTTCAAAAGAACAAGTACAATTTCAGTTCCGTCTGGTTGAATATCTTGGTAAACATTTTTGCCTATTTCTCATGAAAGTACATTATTACTGGGGACTAACTTGATGTAATTATAAGAAGTACAAACACAACTGTTGAATTAGTTTTGCTTTGCTTCTTAATCTTCAGAGCAAGCTATTTTCCTGAATCAATTACGTTTGTTTACCGACTCTTGGGTCCATGTGAAGGAAGGACATTATCCCATTCTACAATCTAAAACAACCAATTATGTTCTGCAATGTTATTTGTTGTCAATCCCCTGAATGCGTCTGCTTTTAATCAGCTTGCATATCATGGTTGTGCCAAAACTAAATACGTATCTTGTACCAACCTTTATTTCCTCTTCCATGTCGGACACTTGCTTCTCAAGAGTCTGTTTTTCCTGAACACAACACAATACAACAAAACTGTAAGTGCACATTACGTATTTTGTATTAAAAAACTAACAAGGACTATGACGTTACTTTAGACCTTAAATCAGGGGTACCCAAACTTTTGAGTTAGAGGGCCACTTTAGCTCGCCAAAACTGCCCAGGGGCTGACCAAACGTTTTACTGGTTCTGAGGTTTAAAATTATGTACGGCATGTCTACATTGACACGGAAGGCAGGTGTTGTAGTTAGTTGTGGGTGACGTCAAGAGTTTGCGTCGAACGGGAAGGTTGTAATGCTAAATGCTAACCACAGACTCGGGCGCACTACATACGTCACGGTAAACTCAGATCCAATCATTTCAATCTGCAAAAGGAGTTAACCCCTCCCACCTGTAAACGGAGCTCAATGGAGCACCTCCAGACCTTAGTACTAAATGTAATTTGTACTATGGTGTGGTACGACCAGGCTAGTGATTGTTGTACAGTTTACAAGAAGTTGCGCTCATGTTATGTTTTCTTGCGTATCAGATCGCAAATAAAACTAGATGGCTCCGTGAGATGAGAGCGTAGGGGAGGGGGCGGTGCTAAACATTCAAACCTTGCAGAAACGGGTATAGCTCCTTTAACATCATACTAAAACAAGTCTGAGGCAGGAGCTTTTAGAGATATGGAGATATGGAGCAGAGTTAAATGTTTGACGTTCCTGATATTGGATGGATTTAGGTGTGGATGGATCTAAAAATGACTCCAGGTCTGTTTTTGAGGAGGAACAATATTGTAACATGATTAAATGCTCAAACGTGTCAAAGTTTAATAATATGTCTCACTGAACCTTGTTCCATCTTTGTTGTTGCCTTTAATTGTATTGTATTCGTACAAAAAAAAGGAAATAAAAAGGGCCAAAGAGGATGGAGAGTGGATGACTCAAACTGCTAAGACAAGCATAGGTAGAATGATGTGGTCGGTTTGACACTCACCCTCTTTTCAGATTCTAGTGCTGTGGACCGCTCTGTAATCCGATCATGTCTCTGCACACAGACAGAGTATGGTGTTGTTATTATAAGACAATATTCAAAAGTATTGTGTAACCACTACATCGTTTGACCAGAATGCATTGCTATGATTTATCCTTATCCTTTATCAGGGATAAGGATAAGGATATTAATCTTAAATTAATATCCTTAATTAGGATAATCTTGTTGTAACAAGATTTTTCATAAATATTATATAAAAATCAGTTCCTCCCTTTAGCATAACCATCACCAGTAATCTTTGCTGGAGAATAGTTAGACCAATGGGGAGGGGCCTCAGTTGTCTATCAAGGATTTAGAAGTAATTGCGTTCAATCAGGGAGCTGTGGGGGCGGGTCAGACTTGTGTTCATTTTTTAAATTATTTTTGATTTAGTTTATTTACTGGGAGGATAAGCCCCTGGAGATGAAACATGTTGTTGTTGAGGGGTCCTCAACATCTTTCTAAAATGCATCTCCTGAGAATAGGTTTTATGATTCTGATAATTCTATAATAACTGCCGAATGAAAGGCAAATGTGTTTACACATTTCTTTAATCAAACAAACCAATGTGTGAAAAGTCATCTCTATGACAAGGTTCTCCAGGGGCATCACTTGATCTTTTTTTTCTCAGATGAAGAAAAAATCCCATATTCACTGAGCTTTCGGGATCCAAACAACTAACCGTTAATTACCGCCGTATGAATAAACCAACGTCCTGAATGTAATATCCGTATGCATACCTGCGTGACTTTCTCCAGCTGTGAGCGTAGCTTGGACAGCTCCTGCTTGCTGTCGTGTAACCTGCTCTTCAGCTTCTCATTCTCATGCAGAGCCTCTTCGTACATCTGACAAACACACACACTCACAATTACACACACCGTAATACTTGTTTAATGATTCATGGGCTGTCTGACAGATCTTGGTCCAATCTCTAAACAAACTGATCTGACAAAGGAAATAAGGCCAACACAATATCTATTAAAGAAAGACCATCTGCACTCCAGCCTGACAGTGGAGTTCAGAGCATCTGCTGCTGCAGCTGGACCACAGGAAGGATGATTATTTAGGCCATTTTAGCAACAACCCAGCGATGTTTTGAAATCAAGTGAAGAATGGACGCGAGAGAGATGGATCGTAAATCAAACAGCAGGATACGGGAACACCTGGTAAATAGTTCATACTGTCATTTTACTACAAATTCAACTATGATTGATTAGGATATTAGCGCGTATGGTGCCCTCACGCACTCTGGGAAAGATTATTCACTTGTGAACGGGTTATTACAAGGGTGTTGTGTTCAAGTGCTTTTGTTGTTGCAAGTAAAACAAGACCTGGCAGCAGCGACTGGAATTCTGTAAGTCCTGAGCTTAAACTAAACTTGGACTAAACTCATGTTCTAATGTAACACTTAACAAACATCTGATGGAGCAAAACAAAGCTGACAGACAATTAACTCTGAGGAGACAAACATTAACTCACATCTACCAATCTATTTTGACAACAAACATGCGTCCTACAGCAACTCAAGTCACCATAATAAGTCAACTTTGCTCTCTAAACACATAAATCCCACACTTTTACCAAAGTTAACTTTAATACTAGTATCCATGCAAACATGATTGTTTCTATCTTGTTTTGATAAGCACTTTGAGTTGCATTGAGTATGAACTGTGCTATACAAATAAACTTTCCTTACCAATACTTGTACATAAATACCTATGGGACTAGTACTTATATGCCCCCTCTGCTAAATACTCTTCCAGTTGTTGCACTGCAGACACAAAACAATTCGAGAGTCCAGCAGGAGAATCAAAGTAGTGTCTCTCATTCATTGATTGACTGCGGAACCTTCCGCAGTCAACCATTGGTTTTGTATTTCTTTATTCCGTCATTTTTTTTGACACGTTTCACAGCTTTCACATTTTCAACAATTTCCACAAGTTATACATCAAAACGTTCCACATGTTTGGGAGATTATTGCTATTACTTTTGGGACTTCAGCGATTTCCGGTTTTTCCGCAATCGGACAAAAATCTGCATTGAGAATTCTGCAATGCATTTTAATAGGCCCATGCATTTTAATAGGACTTCAGCTCTTTCAGACATTTCTACAGTTTCAATGATTCAACAGTTTCAAGGATTCAACAGTTTCAAGGATTTCAGCAGTTTCAAGATTTCAAGAGTTTCAAGGACTTCAACAGTTTCAAGGACTTCAGCAGTTTCAAGGACTTCAGCAGTTTCAAGGACTTCAGCAGTTTCAAGGACTTCAGTGTAATCATGCAACCTAATAGGGATTTTTCCATGTAAACCAGTATAATGCAACTTAATAGGGATTTTTCCATGTAAACCAGTATAATGCAACTTAATAGGGTTTTTTCATGTAAACCAGTATAATGCAACTTAATGGGGATTTTTCCATGTAAACCAGTATTATGCAACTTAATAGGGATTTTTCCATGTAAACCAGTATAATGCAACTTAATAGGGTTTTTTTCATGTAAACCAGTATAATGCAACTTAATAGGGTTTTTTTCATGTAAACCAGTATAATGCAACTTAATGGGGATTTTTCCATGTAAACCAGTATAATGCAACTTAATAGGGTTTTTTTTTTACATATAAACTAGTATAATGGAACTTAATAGGGGTTTTTCCATGTAAACCAGTATAATGCAACTTAATAGGGATTTTTCCATGTAAACCAGTATAATGCAACTTAATAGGGATTTTTCCATGTAAACCAGTATAATGCAACTTAATAGGGATTTTTCCATGTAAACCAGTATAATGCAACTTAATAGGGTTTTTTTCATGTAAACCAGTATAATGCCACTTAATAGGGTTTTTTTCATGTAAACCAGTATAATGCAACTTAATGGGGATTTTTCCATGTAAACCAGTATAATGCAACTTAATATGGGTTTTTACATGTAAACCAGTATAATGCAACTTAATAGGGTTTTTTTTTTACATGTAAACCAGTATAATGGAACTTAATAGGGTTTTTTACATGTAAACCAGTATAATGGAACTTAATAGGGGTTTTTACATGTAAACCAGTATAATGGAACTTAATAGGGGTTTTTACATGTAAACCAGTATAATGCAACTTAATAGGGATTTTTACATGTAAACCAGTATAATGCAACTTAATAGGGATTTTTCCATGTAAACCAGTATAATGCAACTTAATAGGGTTTTTTACATGTAAACCAGTATAATGCAACTTAATGGGGATTTTTCCATGTAAACCAGTATAATGCAACTTAATAGGGGTTTTTACATGTAAACCAGTATAAAGGATAACAGTTTAAAGGATATCAGGAGCTTCAAATACTTCAGGAGTTTCAAAGATGTTTAAAGTATTTTAACAGTTTCAAGGATTTCAAGGATTTTTCAGCTAAATTCCACATTAGATCTGTTCCGCAGTCAATCGCAATGGCTTCAGCCATTGCAAGTTTCTAGTTTTAAGTGTAATTTAAAGAAATGCTATGAAAATTTGTATTTGTCTTCTTCTGCATGCCTTATTCTATTTTTACTTTTACAACTGCCAAAGCAATCTCTTAGTTTGAGACTTACTTTTACTCACAATGGAAATAAAAACAATTCTTATGAATCTTAAAAGTTAACATAGCATAAATAAGACTCAGTGCTCCATGATTTTTCCTACACACAGGTGAGTGTATGTTTGTTACACATTTTTAGATAGTGAGTCATTGTGCGGTACCTTCTTGTAGTCTCTGGAGCTTGTGTCTGGCTCAGTCCTGAGGGCAGCCAGCCGCGCCTCTCTGCGGCTGTAGGAGCTGGTTCGTCCCAGAGGCTTGTCTGTCACCGTTTCTCCACTGGAGTCATATCTGAAAAAACACAAAACACGCATTGTTTACATACAGTTTATTACTTTAAAGGTGTATTATGCAAGTTTTGATGTGACAAATTGTGATAGTTTCAGGGTCAGCATGGTGCCTTCACTTTCCATCACAGAGGTCTATTCAGGATTCTTTGGAAGGTATTTTCTGCTGACTGACCCCAAGAACCTGAAAACCTACAAAACAATCAATCTTTGAGCCCTGGAGACACAACTGTGATCAAAATTTAAGGGACCATACTGACCACTCAAACAGTCCCTGGGTTGCCGCAAGGTCAAAGATGCAAAAATACTGCCTTTTTTCACATAAAAATGGTCCTTTGAATTCAAAGGCAAAAGCAATAGAGAGAACTTTACCTTGACAGTCGTTCATGCTGCAAAACAAGACAAAAAAATAATATTAGTCAGAATTCACTGTAAAAAATTAAGATGCATTGATGAAAGCCTGCCACGATAATTATTATATTAACCCTTTAGATGAGTTTTCAGAAATGTAATGTGAAGCAGACAGGAGGTGGGTCCTCTCAAAGTTTATAAGAGATAGATGACTGCTCAAAAAGATAACAGAAATAAATACAAGAAAAAAAGTAAGACAAAAGGATAAATATTTGTGGGAAGCCAGGTCTCTGTATAGAAAGTGTCTGATGTAAATTTGGGGTTTGTATTTATTGTGTATTTTCTTTGGAATACTAGGGATCTTTGCTATTCTCTGATATAGCATAATTTTGGTGTGAAATTGTGTATATTTAGTCAGCTCAAGCGACAACATAGTTTTATGTGTTCAATTCCATACAATTCAATTTAATTTCGTGAAGCCCTTAATCACGATAGTCATCTTGGAGGACTTTACAAAGTTGCTAATTCCTCAACAACAAATCAGAGAATGCGATAAAGCAATAATAACAAACACATAGGAGCCATTGGTCCATAGGGGGCAGGATGACCAATGTCCATACATGTTAATATATATACAGTATGTTCTGGATCTTCAAAGTCCTGGCTCTTCACTGTCCTTTGACCCTCCTGCAGCAGGTGTTTTATAGTTTAAATGTTCCAGTGTATCGCAATATATCACATTATTTAATCTTATTGTGGCAGTATATTAATGCTCATTTTTGTTTTGAGAAGAGCTTCATATTACTTGACATTCAAGCTGAAAATGAAGACATTTCTCAAAAATCTTTCATCCCCCCCTGGCATAGAGACATTTTTCATTTTGAGCCCCTAACAAAACCTCGAAGTGAATTATCCCTGCAGGCTCAGAGTGGCACCGGGCAGAGGCGTGTGCACAAGTGAGATAGAATTCAGAACAGGGCTGCACAGACAGAGGTCACAGGGGCCAACACTCCCACAGAAAATGGGTAATCCAGACTGGAGCTGCCGAAAGAAGATGACACTATGACATCAGAGGCTAAATATCTCCTTTGTGACGGGTCGATGGCTGACCTTACACACAGGCAAAAGCAGTGTCCGGCCAAAGCTCCTCTGTCACAGTGGCTCTGGAGGATGTGGACTGAGTGACTGTGGCGCTGCAGGCCAGATGCATCATCACTGGGGCTGGATCATCTCTGCTGCTGTTACTAAGTGCCAGTTTAAACCATGGGCTAGTCACAATTATGACTATATTCACTAACTGTTCAAAAATATCATCGTATTAAATATTGTCTGTTAAAATGAACAGTGAGTCTTCTCATTTGAAATTACATCTACTTCTTGTTCCCACATAATATGTCATCGTGACGAGTCATATTTAACCTTCTTTGAAAAAAAATTTAAAGGTCGAGTTATTCTTAATTTTGACCATTATTTAGGTTATGTATAATATGTCCATATTTAGGTTTCCAGTTTATTTATCTATTTATATGTTATCTAATGTTATCTATTTAACATTTATCTATATATATTGTTATGTTTTAGTTAAAGTTAAATTTTTAGTCTAATCTTGTACCACTCTTACAGCCAACACAGAGGGCCGAGCCCCTCTGTACACATGCATGAGAGCCACAAACGCGTATTTGGAGCAGAGCATCATCGTCCACTGCGCAGAACCGGAAGGACCAGACGATGCCCAGTTATGGGTGAGTTCCACTAATCTTTCGGTGCCCATGGCTATCCCATGCGCTACTGAGCACAAGCCATTGTAGGGCAAATAGGGCGCCATCTTGGATCCCTGGGGCTTGGTAGCTCCCCAAACGATTGAAGAATTGAATACATGATCACTTTTGAGTCAATACCTGTTTATGATGACTCTAATTTTCATTAATACAGGGATACTGCTGATATATACTGTATCAATATGTATATATTTTTTTGTTGTGAGAAAATGTTGGCTAAATATGTACAAAGGTTTTTTTTGCAAGCAATTAAGTGTAATACATTTCTCAGCTCATAAACATCTTTTGTGGCAGTCCAAGCTTCTGGGACGAGAGGCAGATGTAATGTACGGGCTGTATAAAGTGAGATTTATGGCTGGAGGCAGAGCTGGTTCTCCTTGCACGAACACTGGTACAGATAGGAGATATTTCATGCACTGTCATGGAGCTATTTCACCGTGTTTACACAAGTGAGCCGTGCTGCCTGTCCTTATGTGGTCATATGCCGCGGCACAGTCGTCCAGGAAAAAAGACCCTCACTGCTGCTTAGAACAAGCCAAGGATGGAGGTCTGACTGCCCAGGAACAAAATGGAAAGGATTTATAATTAGGTCAGTGGCAAAAAACCATCACATTTAATAAAGATGATAATATTGAAATAGTCTCATGTCAATGACAGAAGGACAACAGACAACTGAACTGAAATGTAAAATAATACCTATAAACATGCAAAGATTGAGAGTTGCTGCAATCTAAGAACAGAGTTCTTTTCTGATATAACGGGGGAAATGAAAAAACCTTGTACTAACAAAAACTAAATTATTATAAATCAGTATGAAACAGAAGATATGGTTGTTGGAAAATGGTGGGCTAATATCTGTTTTATTTGTAGGAATAAAAATGCTAGTATTTACAATAACACTTTTGTTGCCAGACTCTCCCTGCCTGTGACACACGGTTCTGAGCACTGATTACTGCAAACCACTTGAACAGCTAGAAACAGTACAAACACTAATATTGACTACTTATATGCATTCCTGATTTCATTTAAAACAAATGTATAGCGCTATTTTGTTTTTCTCCTCCAATCACAGACCGAGGAGTGGTGTTGTTACGAACAGGCTGCGTCCTCTAGCGTCTACAGCGCTGCTAAACACAGTAGCATGTTAGCAGAAGTGGCTATAACTCCTCTTGCTGTACAGTAACTGCAGACACAACAAAACAGCCCAAACAACACAACAGTGAGGAAGAGAAGAAGGAACTAAAGCGAAAAAATGATCCAAGAAGATATCAAGCCCTGGTGAACATAGCTAGCTTACATTGTATCCTCTGGAGAGATTTGTCTGTGGGAGAGACCTGCGGGACCGCCTCGGACTATCTATGCTCGGACTACATTCGGACGCGGAACTAGCGGTAATCTTTCAGTTATATATTTTGTTAGCGGTGCATTGCTTTTGTACCATTTCATCAGTGATTGTTGTTCAGCTTACAAGAAGTTGCGCTAATGCTAATGTTTGCATACGTATCTGATCGCAAATATAACTAGATGGCTCTGTGGGATGAGAGCATAGGGGAAATGAGAAGCCTGTGAGCGAGTTGGGGGGCGGTGCTAAACATTCAAACTGAAAAAAACCTTGCAGAAACAGGTATAGCTCCTTTAACTGCTAAAAAGTGCCTAATAACAAAACATTTCTCCTATTCATTCATCTTCTGCCCATTACCTGTAGGACGCTGTTGTTGTTTGTATTTTGTGGATGAAATCAAGTGCACATTATTGATAAAAACACACCTGAGCTGCTGCAAATAAATAGCAGAAAGAACCAATTATTAACCAACAAACTTATTGACTGTTATTACGAAGATAAGCAGACAGGAGAAATATTAATCCCCAAAATGTATTGTTCCATCTATTATTTACTGAATGATTAGATTAAGATAAAGATTAAGAGATGTGGAGAAATTTCAGTGTTGCATCACAAGTTACAGAACAGTAGGAATGAGGAGCACACACCACAAGATACGATAATAACTCTATATAAAAAAATTAAAAAAAATGTCTAACTCTAGCATAAAAAGAAGCAGTATAAAATCTCTATCTTTAGCATAATAAGGGTTAAAATCTCCAACTTTAGCATGAATTAAATAGAAAAAAAACCCTGACTTTAGCCTAAAAAGGAGCAAGCATAAAATGTTGTATAAATAATTAGTCGATATATAGAAATAATCATGACATCTAATCACAATAAAGCAGAACGCAGACTTTGCAACAATAGCAAGACAGCATCAGTTATTGCAAAGGTTGTATAAGAAATGACCATGTTGCCTCTGACACATTTGCATTTTCTCTCTTCTTGCAAAACCAGAGAACGAATCTTTCTATTTGACTTTGAACGCAGAACTGGACCAAGAATAATCCCTGTGTAAAAGCATAATGAAACTGTGTGGAATGGAACTGGAGGAGACATCTGCACATCACCGAGTCCCTTGTTAGGAGGAATGGAAGTGTTGAGAGGTGCCATATGCTGTGCACTTTGTGAAGCAGAACAGATGCGGACGAGATTTGACCAAGAAGAAAACAACACAAGAGTTTGTCAGGCTGATGGAAACCTGCTCCTAACTGATCTGTAAACACTCACTCAGACGGCTTTACACCCGAGGGAAAGGGGAGAAGCAAGTCGACCGTGTTTATTATGCTGCTGTGTTCAATGCCTAAATCATTGTACTGGACTTGAAAGAGAAATAGAACAAAGAGTGACGAGGCAAAGTGGCAAGGGAATCAGACATAGATGCCAAATTGAGATGTCTGAACCGATTCTTGGATTTTATGTGTGTGTTTTCCTTATATATGTATTAAAGCGAATGTCAGTTACTTTTGAAGTTATGAAGAGAGAAAGGTTTTGAAGGAAAGTAGTGGTTAGACCTGTCCATCCCCCCCCCCCACCGAAGCCTCCTGATTTGTCAAAATGAATTAAAATCCTTAAGGCCCCTCATCATTGGTTTAACTATTAGTAATGCCTAGGGGAAAGCTTTAAATATATTATCGTTGAGAAAAATTCAACGCTATACTGTCCCATGACAAGTAATATACTCTTTTTTTAAAATTAAATACTATTTAAGTTTCTGACCACATATATAACATGAGATTCTGCTGAGGTTTCAGAATCTCTATCTATGGGGGAGTCCTAGAGGGGAGGAGCCTATTGTACATATTTTTAGTATATATAGATACATAGTGTTCCAGTGAAGGCATCATTATGTACTCTGTAGTTAAGAAGCATTGCA